TCACCTTGATACATAAGTTGACAAGTCCCATGTGCTTGTAATTTCAACAGCACCCTTACCCTTCAAAACCGAAAGACAGTAATGCTGACATTACTATTTGGTGGCAGAAATAGGTAAGGTGGCAGGACTCTCCTGGACGAACTCTTTCACAAGGAGCTCTACTGATACAAAAAAAGCTCTGCTAAATATCAACTGGCCACTTTGGGTTCAGTTGACAAGCGTGTCAAGAGGCTTATAGTAACTCGGATTTAGTAGAGGCGAAGCTACAGAGCCTTGAACACCGCTGTAAAGTTACCTGCTTATCGGTATTCTATGCAGGATATAGATCTGAGGGGCACTGCCGCTGCATCCATCACCCTGAGACATAAGTTGACAAGACCCGTGTGTTTGTAATTTCACCAGCACCCGTACCCTTCACGATTTAAACAATTGTTATGGAGCTGTTATGCTCCATAACAGTGGACAGGTGTTTTGCTTACCACCAGGTGCACTTGTTCGTCCCGTCACTCCATACATAAAAGAAAAACATGATTCCTGAATTCACGGTAAATTCGGAATTTTATCGGCAAATAACGTGGACGCATATCTAGTAAATCGCTTGGATAGCCGAGGTCAGTAGGCTCTATTTAAATCCCCGTTAGTTTGTTTCAGCAGAGTGTGTTTTTTGTTCGGTCTATCGAGGCCGTATTTGTTGGTTTATACCAATAACATGACAGCTGACTTAATAGAAAGTGAACTAACAAAAATAAATAAATCGATTGTCGTTTATGATTTCAGAATTAAATTAATTCGCACTAGCTATGCGGGGAATGTTTTACACAATGACTAAATTATTTCTTTGTGGTTAATTAATCGAATTTGGTACTACTACAGTATATAATGGTTAGATTGTGATATTACTAACAGCTGTCATAACATCATTAGATTCTAGTGGCTTGTGTATGCACATACTTATGTGATATCATCGGCGTACAAGTATGGTAGGCAGTAATAGCAGACACCGAAATGCTCGTAAACAGGGATAATAGAATGTATATATAGGTCCTTTTATGGAACCCACAGTCACACTCAAGGCACTAGATTACTTAAAACTGCTCATTCGCTCTTACGATCACTTGGCTACGGCAAAGTAAGATTGGAACTATTTACATGCCATAGTCGAAAAACCAACGGATTACATTGCAGTCAAATAATATACAATTTAACTGCCTCTGTGGCCGAACGGTTACCATGCCATGCAGAGGTCCCAGGCTCGATTCCCGGGCCGGGAGAAATGTTTGTATGGCGTTTATTTCTGTCGTGAGTTTGGGTGTAATTTGTGGTTGTCTATGTGTGTGTCCATGGCACCCGCGACACAGGGTTTCCCTAGTGCGGGGCTATGCTGAGTGTGTGCGTTATTTAAAAAAAAAATTATATACAATTTTACTATATCAACATCAACGGCTACTGCCCGATTCTCTCGATCTCACACCTTCGATTTGCAGATGATTTTGTTATAATGGCAGAATCTCTGCAGGAGCTCGGCGAGATGCTGAACGGGTTAAACGATTCTTCACATCAAGTAGGTCTCGGGATGAACTTGGACAAAACGAAATTTATGTCCAGCGCACATGTGACCCCGGGACCTGTAACCGTAGGTGGGGCTACTCTTGAAGTAGTTCCTCACGTTTACCTTGGCTATAGTGTCCAACTTGGCAAGCACAACTTCGAGAAGGAAGCTGTCTGGAGAATTCGTTTGGGCTTTTATGAATTAGAGAAGCTTAACTGCATCTTCAGGTCATGAATACCACAAAGCCTAAAAACTAAGGCATTTAAACAGTGCGTTATACAAGTTATGTCCTACGCAGCCGCAACGTGGACATTAGCTACAGACAACAGACCTCATCCATAAATTTAAAATCGCTCAGCGTACGATGGAGCGAGCTATTCTTGGGGTTTCTCTGATGGACCGAATCCCTAATGAGGTCATTCGTCAGAGAACTAAAGTGATCGAAATAGCACGCAAAATCAGTACGTTTAAGTGGCAGTGGGCCGAACATGTCTACAGGAAGGTTGATCGCCGATGGAGCAGACTTGTTTTAGAGTGGCGACCACGTCAAGAAAAACGTAGTGTTCCTACACTACGTTTTTACGTACGCCCTGCGGCAACATGGATAGACGCCCTGACAAAAGTGGCCGGCAGCGGCTGGATGCAGGCGGCACAAGACCGAAGAGTTGGCATACTCAAAGGCTTATGTCCAGCAGTGGATGCGTGTAAGCTGATGATGATTACTACGAGGAATAAGAGGGCCTGTATGAATAGATTGATGAATGTAAGTGAGGCAAAAGAGGTTTTTCAGGATCGTGTTAAGTGGCGATCGCTAGTCTCTGCCTACCCCAACGGGAGTTTAAGGGCGTGAGTGTATAAAAAAAACTACTTACCTGTTTTGTTATTTTAAAGCAATAGAAGGAATAGGCGTAAGGACTAGCCACCTATGTACCTACAGAGAATCCGAGTTTTTGATCTAGGATTAACTTTACATTTCTGTTTTATTATTTATTTTGCGTTAAAGTTCTTTCCATTTTTTAAAATACTATAACCTTACTATAAACTTACTCTTGAAACCAAATAACAAATTTCGATATATTATTAATAACGTAATAAAATAGTATTTCTTGTATATTCTAAAAATTAGGCTAAAATAATTGCTACAACTTGTACTCGAAAATCTCACTCTGAATTTATTTATAATATTGATGCAAAACAAAGAAATACGCAAACTTGCCATAAAAGCAGCAAAATCAAAGCGTTTGATTTTGTAACGACCTAGGCAACAATATCAGGCAACAGTATTTGTTTTCGTACTTTGATTATTTATAAACAAAAGCTCGCTAGTAATTCAATTCAAATTGCAAGTAACAATTATCCTACAAAATGGTGTCGAATCGTGACCAGATCAAAACGTAAACATTCATTGTACCTGTTTTGGCGCTGTTGATAACACTTGATTAGTAGTCGAAACGTGGTCACAGATAGGTAATCAGTGTTTGGTATCGAAGTTTCGCGTCCGTCTACACTTTATTTGTATTCGTAGTTGTATGTTTATCTTATTTTACAGTATTCGATTAGACAATGACGGTGAAATAGGAGAAATAAATACTTCAGCAATCCGAAAGACAATTTTATTATTCCAAATAATTGCAAGATATAATACCGTCTTATCCTTCCCATCAATGGAGGACTAGATGTAGTCTCAGGTTCCACCCGTATGTTGTAGAGATTCCAAAAAAATGTATGGCGAACATCAATATCACCATAACACATCAACATATCATTATCACTGAACACTATAACTGAGGTGTGCATACTTTCTTTCAGGTGAGATTGAGGTCAAATGCACATATATATATATATATATATATATGTATATATATATATATATATATATATATATATATATATATATATAAAATGAACAAACAAAACAACTATATATTATTATTTATGGTCATGCGCTACTGTGCATAGTAACTACGCTTCCTTCGTCAATGTTACTACTTTACACAATAAATAACTTCTTTCAAGGATATGCTAAACTAAACCAGAGATACAAGTTTTTTACTGTTAAAAATATTTTGTTTTACCTTTGGGGCTAAAAGTAGGTGTTTCCAAATTCTTCTCTGTTCCCAGTTTAACGGTGCTTTGTTCTTAATTACCAACTGAGTGGCAGCTTCAAACTTATTGGGTTGACTGCTTGAATGACCAAGTCCACTGCGTAGGTAGACGATAAACGATGGTTTTTAACATTTATTTATTTTAACAGCTTTTAATTAATGAGCTATTTAAAATTAATGGTTATAACTGAATAGTTTTATATGACGGTTCTTAAAATGTCGATGTGTTATCTATAAAATTCTAAGTGATTATCACTAATTGCAGGTTTCGTACTACGGTAAAACTTTTATTCATCTCCCGATGGTAAATATTATTTTAAGTTTAGTTTATTGAATATCACGTTGTTTTACTACAATAATATTAATTATTTTTTGTGAAATGACTCCACTAGTTAGTAATGCTTATTAATACAAAGATCGAACACTAAGAAACGTGTCTAGCACAGTGGCTTGAAAGCGCTTTCGAGTACAGCCGGATTGAAAGAATTTTTCTGAGATCTATGTATTAATAATATTATTTTAGTTTTGCGAATACATAACAAAACTTTTGAAACTTACTATTTTTGATATAATGATCCAACAACGGACAAACCGTAGATACAGGTCTGTAACTCAGTTAACATGATCGGTGGCCCCGGCATGGCAACAGGCGCTGGTTCGGGTCTAGTAAGATCCAAACGATATTTCTTTGTGTCATTTCATATTTGTGTCAATAATAATATAAAAAATAGTAACAAATTAATGGAATATTTTCACAAAAAATATGAAATATGATAGTAAAATATCATGCTATTCAATAAATGAACATTTTAAAACTTATTTTGTTTTTTTTTATTTGAATATAATAAATATGGTACTTCTTTTCTCCAAAAGAATTATTATTAAATCTATATATTAAATATAGATATATTAAATCGGTAGAGGAAAGGAAATTGAAATTCACAAGAATAATGACTATGTTTGCAAAATATTTGGAATCTCATTGCTTGCCTTCGCCATTGTCTAACTTTGCTTCATTTAGTTTAATAATAACAATAATTAATACATTTCAAGTAACATTGACTCATATAATTTGTTAGTAAACCACAAAATTATACACAATAGACACTGCTGGAAATAAGCAACTCACAGCTGCGCCTCATGTAAGGACAGCCGAGCCTATCCGCTGTCGAGCATGTCATATCTTAGTCATAATCCTGCAGTTAGGTGATGATAATTCTGCAGCATTTGTACCAAATTAGACCAAGACCTTATTATACTACCATGGAAGCAAGTACTATCTACTTACGAGTATAACTTACGAGTTCTTACTTACATAATTACGTGAAAATTATACTTTGTTTCAGTTTCCAACACCTACTGTAACTCCGAATGCAACAACAAGCGAGAGAGGTGTCTCTACCAAAGCGTCTCCAAACAAAGCGTCTCCGACCAAAGACAATGCAAACACATATGCAGCTATTCACAGGTTCAGCAACATTTTAAATATTACCCTACCCCTAGAGCGTGAAGATTTTACTGTTCTCAAGTTTGCAATATCAATATCATCAGTATATCGCTGTTCACTGCTGGATTTAGGCCTCTTCCAATGTGCGCTATACCTCGCCCGGTCCTCAGTTTGTCCATCTGCTGTCACAGTCTTTCGCAGATCGTCATTTCATTTGGCTAGAGGCCGTCCTTCATCATGTTTGTAGAGCCGTGGTCTTCACTCAAGAACACGTTTCCATTTTAACTTGGCTTATTCTGCTAGTTAAGTTGGCGACCTTGGCAATAGTCGGATAACCACATTTCGAATCTTATCCTTCAGAGAAACTCCGAACGTAGCTTGTTCTAAAGCTCGTTGAGTTACTTTAGACTGGAGGACTAGCCATATCGTAATTGTATGGTAATTGTCCACATTTTTGCTCCGTACGACAGGACGGGTAGAACGCGCTGATTTACTTATGATCCCATGATGATCCCAAGTAACAGGACGAAGAAGCACCTGGTGCGTGGTCAGCGACAAGCCTGTCTATAATAACGTACGCACGCACGCACTCGCACACGCAAACACGCACACGCACACACACACACACACACACACACACACACACACACACACACACACA